CAATTAAACACACCATAAAATCACATAAATTCTAATTAACATAAAACATTAATCAATTTGAGATTCGATCGCCGATAAGACTTTCAATTCACAGTTCGACACTTAAAACGTGAACAGATCAATTAACAGTCAAATAGATAGAAATGCATTCAAACTAATACACTCAATCAATCAGTCAGAATTTCAGTCAATCAGTTACTTAACATGCTTAATCATAGATTAGCACTAAACAGTGGTGAGGGTTGTCACACTAACTGTTCAGGGCATTTGTCATGTTCTGCTTTTGTTCCAGCCTAAAGCTGTTATGTATGTTTTTTTTTTTTTTTCCTTGGATCGTAGAATCCCCTAAATGGTCACACTTCTAAACATTCTTTTTTGATCTTGATAATGGTGGAAACAGTTAGCGATGTTCATACATGGACATTGACACTATTTTAAGAACTTTTGAGACATTATGAAGGAAAAATGCTATTAAATGCAATCTTCAAGACATTAGATTAGTCAAGGCTTGGGTTTGTTGTACTAGACTAATTGAACTACTTTCCAAGCATCATTTCCTTTCTTGTTTTCATGTGTCAATCTTACTTTAAAAAGAAAAGAAAAGAAAGGGATTTGCATTAAAAATCTGGACACATTAGTCTTCAAAATGATCAAGTAAAACCTGTTTCATTTTAGAAGATAGATAGATAGATACAAGTTTTCATAATTTACCTTTTCATTTAATGGGAAAACCTGATTCATAGATACAGGTTTCATAGATACAGGTTTTCTTCTATACTCCCATTAACCACAATTTCGTAATTAGTCTTCATTTTAGAAGATAGATAGATAGATAGATACAGGTTTTCATAATTTACCTTTTCATTTAATGGGAAAACCTGTTTCATAGATACAGGTTTCATAGATACAGGTTTTCTTCTATACTCCCATTAACCACAATTTCATAATTAGTCTTCATTTTAGAAGATAGATAGATAGATACAGGTTTTCATAATTTCAAATGAAAAGGTGAAACGGGTTTTCATAATTTCATAGAGTTTCAATTGTTATAGGTTTATGGAACAGGTTTTTACAATTTCAAATGAAAAGGTTTATGGCAACATTTCGTTGGAACAGGTTTTTCAGGTTTATGAACAGGTTTTCATAATTTCAAATCAAGGATAGTAGCTTTTTCAGGTCTTCATAATTTTAACATTTCGTTGAGGAATTTCATCGAACAGGTTTATGACAATGTAAGACTCCAAATGAAAAGGCCACAATTTCCAAATGAAAAGGCCAAATTCAAGTCCCAAATGAAAAGGCCAAACTTTAATTTTTCAATTCCTTTATCATATTGTCAAAACTACTAAATCCAAACATTCGGGAAATTTACGCAGATATACACAGATATATATATATATATATATTCGCAGATATACATAGAGAGAGTCGGGACTTCACAGATAGATATATATATATATATATATACACGTAAATATACCATTTGGTATATTTTTCATTCCTAATCGTCCTTCGTCGGATTCAACAAAGAGACAGTCGGGAAATTTACCTCTTAATCGTCCTTCGTCGGATGAGAGAGAAAGAGAGACAGAGAGATTCACGAGTGAAGGGAATGAGCTGTCGGTGTCGGAGTGAAGGGAAGAAGTGGTCGCCGGCGTTGGAGTGGGGGTTAGTAGTTGTTATCGTTGGAGCGAAGACATACGTGTTTGAGGGGGGGAGATTTCAAAATGAAATGTGAAGATGTGTTTGGGTCTTATAGTCACGTGACAATCACGTGACGTGCCACCTCAACTGAGGGTCACTGGGAGTCGGAAAAACTGGGGGTGCGAAGCATTTTTCATTGGCTTATATCAACAAAGTTCTCTTTTTAGGGATAATAAAAATAAAAAATAAAAATTGAACAACTTTTAAATTTAAATCTTTCAATTTCTATTCTTCGAGTGTTTTAAGTGTCAACTTAATTGAGATCGTTGTGTCTTATTATAATGTGGTTCGCACTCATCTTCCTTTCTTTTATTAATATAATTCCTCTTGCTATTAGTTCATATCAACAAAGTTCTCTTTTTAGTGATTAAAAAAAACAAAAATGAACAACTTTTGAATTTGAATCTTTCAATTTCTTTTCTTCGAATTGTCTTTTCAAAATTTTAAAATTGGGTAAAAATAATTAAATAATTTTTTATTTTCAAGTTTCACCGTGTTCCACGAATCAGGATTCCCTCCTTACATTTCCTCCTTGTATTTTCTACTTGCAGGGTCATTGGGCCTACTTTTAGGCCCAATTTTGATAAGCCGAACAGTTCATATTTTAAGATTTGTTCAGTATATCATATCTATAAAAAATCAAGTTGATCGAATATCAAAAAGCATGTGTTCGGAAAACTCGAAGTAAAAACTATTTTTTTAAAGGATTTAATAAACAGTTTTCCGAACACATGCTTTCTGATATCCGATCAACTTGATTTTTTACAGGTATGACATACTGAACAAATCTTAAAATATGAACGGTTCGAATTATCAAAATTGGGCCTAAAAATGGGACCAATAACCCTGCAAGTAGAAAATATAAGGAGAAAATGTAAGGAGGAAATCTGGATTCGTGTCCCACTACCAAATGTCAGATAAAACATCTTTAAATCACTATGGAAATAATATTCACTATGCTTGGTTTCACTTTTCAAAAAATACTTTTCAGAAAATTCTACTTTCTTATTTTCTGTGTTTTTTTGTTTTTATTGATTTTTTTTAATATTTTAAGCAATTTTTTTAATTTTTAGGCATATCTAACTTAGATGTATCTAAAAAGTAAAAAATTTGTGAAGAAAACCTTTTAAAAATTCACTAAATACCCAAAATACAAAAAAAAAAATACGAGAATTCAATACATTTTTTGTATTTTTATGTATTTATTAATTTTTTAAAATATTTTTTCACAAATTTTTTACTTTTTAGATACATCTAAGTAAGGTGCATCTAAAAAGTAAAAAAAAAATGTTTAAAATTTAAAAAATATTCACTAAAAATAAAAAAACACGAAAACAAAAAAAACTTAATTTTCAAAAAACTTAATTCAAAAAACTCAAACCAAACACACTGATTAAGTTCTATTGCATGGTGGACAGTCGATCACAACTTTAGGGTAAATTTTTTTTGGTCAAGAGGGTTTTTGATTTGAAAAATAATATAAAAGTTTACTTTTTAAACTCACTTTTTAGATTCAATGATGTGTCAAGAAAATGATTAATTAATAATTAGAAAATATTTAATTATCAACTAATCATCTTCTTAACACATCTCTAAATTTAGAAAGTGAATCTAACTTTTGGGTCTGAATAGCTGTACTCTTTTGATTTTCGCCAATAAATCTTCATGAGGATAAAATTTTTCCTAGCTATACAAAGCAAGATTATGAGTTGTTTTGGGAAGATAGTTAAAAGTTGACTTTTTAATTTTTTTTTTACATTTTTTAAAAAAAAAACGTGTAAAAAATATGAAAGATAATATGACCTAAAATAAGTTAAAAATTAAAATATGACTTTTAGCCAAATTTAGAAAGTGAGTCTAACTTTTGGGTCTGAATAGCTGTACTCTTTTGATTTTCGCCAATAAATCTTCATGAGGATAAAAATTTTCCTAGCTATACAAAGCAAGATTATGAGTTGTTTTGGGAAGATAGTTAAAAGTTGACTTTTTAATTTTTTTTTTACATTTTTTAAAAAAAACGTGTAAAAAATATGAAAGATAATATGACCTAAAATAAGTTAAAAATTAAAATATGACTTTTAGCCATCTTTCCAAAATAGCCAACTAACCAAACAAAGATGAAAGGTACATCAGCATTGATTCAGTGCTCTAAAATGGTAGCACTAATGCCAGCTCTAATGAGTTGGCAGTGCAAGAAAAAAAAAAAAAAAAGCCAAACTATTAAAAAAAAAAAAAAAGCGCCAAAGGCCAAACTATCTCATCAATGGTGTGGCCCGCGTGATGCCATAGTGTTGAATTAATGGTCTGAAGCATTTTTGAAGGTACATATACCTGGCCCTCGAATGAAAATTTGAATCAGTTGGTGTTTTAACTTTCTACCGCATCAAATAGTTTATTTTCAGGTTAACCTGCTCTATTTTTTTTCATGTTGTTTTATGTCTTTGGTGACAAGTGTTAATATTAATTACGCACCTCTAAGCTATCTGAAAACTAGTCGCGGACGCTCCTTTCAGAAGCTTGGGATGAGCTAATCTGTTGTTCTTAGTTATTTATTTATATACTTTAATTGGACTCAAACTCAATCGATGCATGTGATGGCTCCTGTAATGTTCTTTCTCTTCTTTTATTGCACTGCCTGCTTTTCACCCTTGGCTTAATTCTCTCAAATAAGGGGTGCTGTGCTGACACGTACAAGCACTTTATTTTATGAATTTTTTTTTATTTAAATTTTATTTTCAAGTATCAGAACATACCATTATATAGAATTTGCCAACATGCAGTATTTTTTTATTATTTTAAATAACTCAGTTTGATCTGAAAAACTTCAAACATTTGATTCCTCAAATATTTTTTGAAGTATATATTTCGATGGTTGAATGTTTTTGCACAAATTAAATCAGATGGCTAAATCTGCTAATTTTTTATTTTTGTATTTTTTATAAATCACTACAATGAGATCAATGGAATAATAATCTCTGCAACAATAATAGTCAAATCATAAATTTATATTTTTATTAAATATTAAATTACATTATTGAAAGATACTGATGACATGATGCAAAGCCATGCTCCTATATGTGTCATTTTCACCTTCGCTACTTGCAGTTGCGGGTTTGACCTTTAACCTTTTGTTTCAGACATTTGTCTAGATCATGAATTTGAAAAAAAAAAAAAAAAATTGTATTGAGAAAGAAAATATGAAGATAAAAGTGAAAAATTAAAATAAAAAAAAGTTCTTATATTGTATCCCATTTTTTCATTGCCTTAACCTTTTTTTTTTTTAATTCATGATACAAACACAAAAAGCCCGTGGTGGCCTGTTTGTCCCAACTCCAAAAGAGTTACATATTCTTCTCTTTTCTTTTCGTTTTGCCACCTAGCTTCTTTTTTTCTTTCCCTTCCCCACAAAGAGCTATTAGCTATAACTTAACAGTGACAACTTTGTTTGGGAAAATCCATTCAGTACCCATAAATGTCTCTCCAGTCACTTTCTTCATCTGCACATCTAAGTTGAGTATTGCCTCACTTTTCTCTCTAATCAATTTCATCTAGTAATTCTTTGTTGCTTGCTTCTTATAAAGATCTGAATTTGGATAAGGTAGGATTGCGATATTATATATTATTGATGATTCATTTATCAGAAATATATCTAGAAGGATCTGAAGGTAAAGAATTATCTCTTCCAGGCCATAGATCGATCGATCCTGGAAACCATTTTGAGCAAGGATACAGCCAAAAGTATGGTTAGGAATTGTTGAGGTTTCAAATTCTATTGTAAAACTTTATCTGTTGATTTTTAAGTTTTAAAGAAGAAGGATCCAATCCAGGTGTGCAGTTACATGAATTTGAGCATTTGGGGCTTTGATATATGAAATAACTTGGTTTTCAGATTGATTGCAGTACAAATCTGTGTGCATTTATGCGACCGATCACTTGACTATCATCAACTCTTGGATTGGATTCTAGTGATTTACTTTTGGATCTCAAATCCTTCATCATATTTCTGGCAACTTCGATTGCGTAACCGTAAGTTTTGTCAGTGGAAGATGGAGAAGTAAAGTCTTCCGTTACTTTCTTGACCATCTGGTTTGCTGATGCTAGCTTGGTGTTGAATCATTATAAAGATTTATATATATCAGATAGCTTCAGTTTTTGGCTGTGTCTGTTGTGCTTGTGCTCGTGCTTCTGAAGAAGAAGAAGAAGAAGAAGAAGAAGAAGAAGAAGAAGCTGGCAAATAAGTGGTGGGAGAAAATAGATGTGGGAATGGCTGGGTATGATTCAGGAGCAGGTTCTCGCTACTCTCATCATCATCAGCTCCCCAGACCCGAGCTCCACTTACAACCTATATCCCTTCCTCAACAACAACAACAACACCAACACCAACATCAACACCAGTCAACAACCCAACAACAACCCTCTGATTCCACCGACAAAGACGACCAGAAGGCAGACCCTGCCACCAGCTCCGGCGAAGCAACCACCTCCAACCGCCGCCCCCGAGGCCGTCCTCCGGGGTCCAAAAACAAGCCAAAGCCTCCGATCATTGTAACAAGAGACAGCCCAAATGCCCTCCGATCCCACGTACTCGAAGTCTCGGCCGGTGCCGATATCGTCGAGAGCGTGTCCGTTTATGCCAGGCGGAGAGGAAGAGGAGTTTCTGTTCTCAGCGGAAGCGGCACCGTTTCCAACGTCACGCTCCGTCAGCCAGCGGCTCCTGCTGGAAGCGTGGTCACACTACACGGCCGATTCGAGATACTTTCTCTCTCCGGGACTGTGCTTCCCCCGCCTGCGCCGCCCGGTGCTGGTGGTTTGTCCATATTTTTGTCTGGTGGCCAAGGGCAGGTCGTCGGAGGGAGCGTGGTGGCTCCCTTGTTGGCTTCTGGTCCGGTTGTTTTGATGGCGGCATCGTTTGCAAATGCTGTGTTTGAGCGGTTACCCTTGGAGGAGGAGGAAGGAGGAGGAGGAGGAGCTGCTCAGGTCCAACCAGCTGCGTCACAATCTTCAGGCGTTACTGGTGGTGGAGGCGGCGGCGGTGGCGGTGGTGGTGGCAGTGCTGGTGGTGTTTCTTTGTTTGGAATGGGAGGAAACGTGCCTAACTATTCATTTTCAGGTGATCTGTTTGGATGGGGTACTGGTGGTGGTGGAAGTGGTGGTGGTGGTGGTGGTGGTGGTGGTGCAAGGCCTCCTCCTTTTTAATGGGTTGATTTGATGATTTGATTCTCAAGTTGACTTTGGATGATGGAACTGATGAAGACGAGAGGAAAAATACATTAAGCGAGTAGTTTTTGTTTTTGTGCATGTGATTAAAAAAGAAAAAACAAAAATTGTAGTAATGATCTGTATAGATATTGAAGAAAATTGGTCCTGTTTTCATGACTTGACTTGTTTCAGTGGGGGTTTGATGAAGATGTGAAGCTGTGATCTTAATATGAAGGCCTGAGCTGGTTTTCCTTTCGAAAGTGTGGTGATTAAGGACTTGTTCATCAAGGTCAGTAAGTTCAACTTCCATGTATGAAAATTGTTGTTAGTATTTAATTACAGACTTTTCCTAATTTGGTCCCTTCTTCAATTTCTTTCTTTCTTTTTTCTTTTTTCATTTAGCTTTGATTTTTCCTATATGTTAATTTTGTGATGATGAAATCATTTGTTTCCTTTCGATGAGAATATAGAAGAATGTGTTTTAGGTTTATGAATTTTGAAATAAAACTGCCAACAAGCAAGTGAAATAAAGATATATATGATTCCCTTGGGTTGAATGATATTTTATGTATGTTTATATATGTAAAGGAGTTATATATATTTAAATGTTTAAAATTGAACACATATATGATACATGTCAATTTACATAAGTTAATATACAAATCCACACTTTGTAAGTATAGTATTTCTTTTCTTCTTTCTTGCTTTATTTATTTATTTATTATCAAAGCACTTACACGAAAGAAATGGAAAATGAGTGACAGCACTAATTAGTGCTACCACTAATGATGTGATAGTAGGTTCCACCCATTGCCACAACAACTATGATACAGATCACTAAAATAAGACCACTAAAAGCAGCTCTAATGACGTGGCATGCCTAAAAAAAAATTAAAGAAAAATGCTTGGGAGCACTAATTAGTGCTCCCACTAATTAGGTGGCAGTGGGTCACGTCATTAATGATGTGATGTTTTGGTCTTGGAGTTGTGTTTTTTTTTTTTTTTACTTTTTTAATGCATTAGTGCTATTAGTGGTGATGTTTTTAGTGGGATGAATCATTGTTGAAAATTAAAATAAAAAGAAAAGAGGAAAAAGACAAAACACAAAGAGGAAAAAGACAATTTAATGCTCTTTTAGTGCTCTTCTTTTAATGCTCTAAATCATTTTTCTTTGCCACAATATTATTGTGTCTGCTTTTTTTTAAAAATAAATAAATAAATAAATGTCACATCATTAATGATTGTTTTAAAACACCACTTTTTAGAGGACTCTAACATTCCCCCCGGAAGGAAATACCCTATGGAACTTACACTTTTGTAAGATAGAGAACCTTGAACCCTGAAATGCACAGCACATATCTTTTGTGTTTGTGTAGTTGCATATATGCATTGCATGTGGGTAGGCTTGGCTCTGCTTTTAAGCCCAGGGAAACCTTAAGTGTGGTCCGTTCCTTCTTTCTTCCCCCCCCCCCCCCCCCCCCCCCCCCCCCCCCCCCCCCCCCCCCCCCCTCCACACTCCCCCCCCCCCCCCCCCCCCCACCCCCCCCCCCCCCCCCCCCCCCCCACCTCCCCCCCCCCCCCCCCCCACCCCCCCCCCCCCCCCCCCCCCCCCCCCCCCCCCCCCCCCCCCCCCCCCCCCCCCCCCCCCCGCCCCCACCCCCCCCCCCCCCCCCCCCCCCACCACACACAACCAACACCCCACCAAAAACCATAAACCAAACGAAACACAAAAAACACACCAAAAAACCCAACAACCACACCCCAAACCACAAACACAACAAAACAACAACAAACACAACAAACACCACACAACCAAAAACACAAAAACAACACCAACAAACCACCAAACCAAAACAAAGTTGTAATTATTTTGATGACAGACTTTAGAGCAGTGGAAACTAGAAGAAGAAAGTCCTTTTGTCAGTTACAATATAAATTAATTACAGCAGAAGTGATGAGTTTAAACATGACTAGCTTCAAGATTTGAACATCTGTCCCTTACACTTTAATTTAGGGAAAAAGATATATAACCTACTCCTTCAAGCCTCTCAAGAATTCCTATTTCCAACCCAGGCAAAAAAGAGAGAAACTCCCTCTCTCAAGAAAAAGAAAAGATATTTAAATGGATGAGGTATTGTTACAACTTTGTGACTTTGAAATCTGAAAAGGGAAAGTAAAATAATATAAACGACAATAATATACTGCATGGATCTTTTTGATTTTTATTGTTACAATATCTAAGAGAGAGAGGAAGAGAGATTTGTATTATATTAAATATTGTGTTGAATAATTTATGTAATAATGTATGCAAACTCCTTTATATAGGAGAAGAGAAACCTAGGTATTGTAATCCTAAATATGGTAATGAATATAATATAGTATGTATGATAGATAGAATATATAGTTACTATATTTAACACCCCCTCAAACTCAAGTAGAGACACCAACTTGAGTTTGAAGAGAGAAACTAAAATATGAAATAAAACTAAAAATAAAATATGGATAGATCCAGGGCAAATAGATTGCAAAGTTCAGATGAGAGCACATGGGCACTTGAGATAGATTAGAGGCCAGAGCTAATGTCGGGAGACAGTTTAGGTGGTTTGCCAGGGAGGACAGCTTGGGTGGTGCGCCAGGGAGGGCGACTTAGGTAGTTCACATGGTATATCACCATACTCACCATAATATAGGTATAATATCATGTCGGGCTGTTGTAGAGACTAAATGTTGAATCAACAAGCGTGACACACACATAACTTGTGACGTGGTGCTGAACGATGATGGTAACAAATGACTGAGTACGCCAAGGGGAGGCTTATTAGAAAGTGAGCCAGAGGGTGGCTTAGATGGTGTGTCAGGGGGCGACTTTAATAGTGCGTCAAAGGACAACTTGGACGATGCGTCAGAGGGGGCAGCTTGGATTGTGCGCCAGAGGGGGCAACTTAGGTGGTACCCCAAGGGGCGACTTAGGTTGTTCACATGATATATCACCATGCTCACCATGATATAGGTATAATACCTCCCTGAAACTCAAATAGATTTGAAGATAGAAATCTAGTTGAGGTTGAAACAGAGGGAAAGACAAAGTGGAGCAGAAGCACACTAAAAAAAAAAATAGATTGCGAGTAAAAAGAAAAATATGATAGAGACATTTGGGGTAGGAATAAACTAGCGAACAAAGGAAGAGATCACTACGAAGCGATACTGACAGGAAAATATGGCAGTGGAACGGGTTAAGGTCCGGCAGGCGGCCAACTCAAGATTGTCGCCCGTTGGTAAAGCGAAGAACACCAAGAGCTTAACCTATACCTCTGATACCATGTTACAACATCCAAGAGAGAGAGAGAGAGAGAGAGAGAGATTTGTATTATATTGACTATCGTGTTGAATAATTTATGTAACAATATATATGACTCCTTTATATAGGAGGAAAGAAACCTAACTATGATATTCCTAAATATGGTAATGAATATAATATTGTTGAAACTGTTAGTGTTGATCTAGTCTTTATTAGGATCTATTTTTGTTTAGTTGCTTAGTGGTTTGAATAATTCCTATTCTTAGGGATAAATTGTTTATTTCCTAGTCACTTACCACATTAATTGGCATGTAAAATGTAGGCTGCAGTTTATTTCTCTTTTCTGTTATTCTTGTAAAGCTATATATATCTAGTTCAGCTGTTTAATTGAATAAGAGAACATTCTCCCAATTTGCTTATGTTCACTTGACAAATACAAAGAGTTTTTAACACTTGGTATCAGAGCCTTATCATAGGGGCCTGATTAAGAAGCAGCAGTCTTCAAAGGTGCTTAGTGACAAAAATATGACAACTGAGAGTAGATTTGTGCAACCAGCGATCCCAAAATTCGATGGTCATTATGATCACTGGTATATACTCATGGAGAATTTCATGCGATTGAAAGAATATTGGAGTGTGGTGACAGATGGGATTCCTGTAGTAGTAGAAGGAGTTCAACTCACTGACACACAAAAAAAGGTGATTGATGATGCAAAGTTAAAGGATCTGAAGGTAAAGAATTATCTCTTCCAGGCCATAGATCGATCGATCCTGGAAACCATTTTGAGCAAGGATACAGCCAAAAGTATTTAGGATTCCTTGAAGCAAAAGTATTAGGGGACAGCATGAGTGCAACGACAAGCTCTCCAAAAAGAGTTTGAGATATTAAACATAAAAGTGGAAGAGTCTGTGAATGAATACTTTGCTCGTACTCTTGCTGTGGTCAACAAGCTGAGAACCAATAAAGGAATGATGGACGATATAGCAATCATCGAAAAGATTTTAAGATCCATGACACCCAAGTTCGATTACGTGGTGTGTTCTATTGAGGAGTCAAATGATTTGGATGCTCTTACCATTAATGAGTTACAAAGTAGTCTTCTAGTACATGAGCAACGTATGAAAGCTCATGTTGTGGAAGAGCAAGCATTGAAGGTTACTATTAGAGAGTCTTCAGGGGAAAGAAGACGAGGTTGTGGCGGATTTCAAGGACGAAGAAGAGGGGGAGGCAAGTGTAGCTTTGACAAATCCATTGTTGAATGCTATAATTGCCATAAGCTTGTACACTTTGCATTTGAATGTCCAAAGAATGAGACAAAAGCCAAAGAAAACTATGTGGAAGGTAAGGAAGAACTGTTGTTAATGGCATACGTAAATGATACGTATGTGAATGATAAGGAAGCCAGCAAAGAAGAACTGTGGTTTCTCGACTCTGGATGCAGCAATCACATGTGCGGCAAGAGGGAACTTATCTCAGATTTTGAAGGCAATTTCAAGGAGAAGGTGACACTGGGAGATAATTTAAGCATGGATGTGATGGGTAAAGGCATTGTTTTCAAACTCGGACTGGACTAGCCAGTTGAACCGGGAACCGAGCCTTGTTCCGGTCCAGTCAACCCCCTAAACCCGGAGTGGGGCCAAAAACGGGAAAACCCGGCGACCCAGTGGTCAAACCGGTAAAACCGGTGACCCGGACCGGGACGGGAGGGTCAGACCGGTTTTTTTTATTTATTTTTTATTTTCTTTCTTTCTTTTCTTTCTTTTCTTTCTTTCTTATAAATTTATATATATAAGTATATATCAAAATTTTGACTAAAAATTCTTATTTCAAGAGTCTCCTCTCATAAGGAAGAGTCTCATTGAAAACTTGAGAAGATTATGAAAGTTTATTCCTATTTATAGGAAAAGATTTTTCAAAGAGAACCTACAAAATTCTATGTGGGATTCAATCAAATTATTTGAAATATATTGATTAGAGGGAGAGTTGAAAATTTCATTTCCCTCCAAAATTAAATCTAGCATTCAATCAATTTATTTGGAGGGAATGTTTAAAAATTTTAATTTCTTTAAAATAAGTGACTTTTTTTTTATCAATTATGACTTTATTAAATATTATTAATAAATACTATGCAACAATTTTTATTTTTATTTGATTATTTATATATATTTTTATTTATTTATAATTTATAAGTATATTTTTTAATTATATAATATTAATTATGACGTCACGGTTCAAC